CTACATTGTGAGAGCCTGTCTCAAAAAAGGAAAGAAAAGAAATGAAATGATAGAGCCATAAGGCTGTAATTTGTATGTCTTGCTGCTGGGCAGCTCTGATTCAAATTTGATGGTTCCTGCCAGCTTGAGCTACTGCTGGTACAGGCATGACTGTCCCATTGGCGGTTTGTACCACTTCTCAAGGGGTCTTTGGTTACAGTAATGCAAAGAAAGGCATTGACTTAGCAGACCAGATGGCATCATACAATAGTTCCCTGAGGAAAACATTGAAATGGTATACAAAACAGTAAGACAGATAATTTGTGTGGTACAGCAGTTTTAAGTGTATATTATACACATTAATTTTTTTTTTTTTGGTGGAACTGGGGATTGAACTCAGGCCCTTGCGCTTGCCAGGGAAGCGCTTATTCCACTGAGCCATCTCCCCAGCCCAGCAATTATACATATTATTAATGGGGCATTGTGAGATTTCCATGTTAAAATTTAGAGAATTAATTCTTCATAAATTATCCATGGATATAAATAAATTTCTTTTAAATTAATGAAATAAATAAATTTTTGAGTTATACTTTTAATTGATATGAGTAGCATTGATTAATATTTATATTTGGGCAGTAATTATTCAAATTCAAGCAACTAACTAGAAGCAGTCCATTTATACACTTTTTATTAGTAAAATGGAAGACAAGACAACTAGATTTGTTTGTCCCATCAGTGGTTCAAGCTGGTAGGAACATGCTTAATGTGATATATGTTTACGCAGAGCTCCTAATTGTCTCAAATTGCTAGGTCTTAGGCAAGTACAAGTTGTCCCTCAGCACCTATGGAAGATTGGCTCCAGGACAGGATGTGACACCAAAATTCATGGATGCTTAAGTCCCTTGCATAAATTAGGAGAATATTTGCATGTAATTTGTAAACATCCTCTATAAATCATCTGGAGATTACTTACAATACTTGATATAAAGTAACATATAGGGGGCTGGGGAGATGGCTCAGTAGAATAAGTGCTTGCCTGGCAAGCACAAGAGCCTGAGTTCAATCCGAGGTTCCACAAAAAAAAAAAAAAAAAAAAAGTAACACATATATTATGTATTTGGTACAGGGTCTCATGGACTCATAGTGATCTTCCTGTTTTCAGCCTCCCCAGCACTGGGATTATCGGTATGCACCACCATGCCCAGACTCGCTGGCTAGCTTTGCATTGCTCTGGGGATGGGGCTCGCGATTGAACCCCAGTCCCTGCACTTGCCTAAGCAGGCGCTTAGTCTGCTGAGCTATCTTGCCAGCCTTTTACATTAATAATCATTACACCATGTTGTTTAGGGAACAATGACAAGAGAAAATAAGTTTGTGTTTCTCATTACATTCTCAGTACCTTGCAGATCTAACTATATTTTGATCAGCAGTTGGATGAAACTATGGATGTGGGTTTATAGATGAGAAGTGCTGCCTGCACTTTTCTTTGGGCCTTTGTTTTTTCATTTAAAGCATGAGCTGGTCTCTGACTAAGGTCCTTTTCAGCTAGGCATGGTGGCACACGCCTGTAATCCCAGCACTCAGGAGGCTCAGGCAGGATGATCACTGCAAATTCAAGGCCAGCCTGGGTTATAAAGTAAGTTCAAGACAGCCTGCACTGCATAATGAAAGTCTCAAAAACAAACAAACAAACAAAAACCCAAACCAAAACAACAACAAACAACCTAGGAACAACAAAGAACCCTTCTGGATATGAGGGCCATCTGGCTGCTACACCTGTCACTCCTTTGAACGCCAGCGTGACTTGGCTGAGCAGGCTGCCAGGTGCATGTCTCCTCCTCCCTCAATGCTCCTGAAGCTTCGAAGTCTGCCGAGGAGGGTGAACACCCCCCCCCCCCCCCCGCCATATCCTCAGACAAGGACACATGAGGAACTGTGCTCCCCCTCTAGAACCTCCAGACAAGCTCTCAAGGTCCCTTTTAAACCTAACGCCCTTTGGCTTGGTAGAGTCCTATTTAAATTCCATCCTTGCTTGGTCACTAATTTACAATGTGACTTTGGGAAAATTTGAAAGATCCTCTTTCTCTACTGGAATAGGATGGACAGTACCCAATTCAAACAGAGCTCCCTTGGTATGCAGCCAAACTCTTCTGGAAAATCTCAAAGAATCTTTGGAAAATCTCAAGGTTAGAGAAATCAACCAGGAATAATAACAACACCCTATGGCATCTTTCTGATGCCTTATAGTTTGCAAATCTACTTGAGTTTATATCTCCCCTATCACCCCTAGTTATGTATCATTGGGTAAATTATTCTATGCGGGACCTCTATGCCTCAGGTCCCTCAGCTGTAAGACAGGGACTTAGTACCATGGCCAATCTCAAGCACGAAGAGTGAATGTAAGCAAGCATTTGGACCAGTACCTGGCACACAACAGTGGCTCAGCAGATTGCGAGTTGCTGCTGTACTATGGCTGAGCATGTCCAGATGATCGACTTCACTGGTGCTCTTTCTATTACTAGACAAGGTCCATATTTGTAAGGCACCAAGATTAAGACTAAAGGTTGGCTGTCCAAACACAGATTGTAATGGGTCAGTAATCCACTCTAGGCTGAGAATGACTCTTGGTTCAGCTCTGCCTGGGTGGATTTAATTTGGAAAGGGAAGTACGGCTTCCGTGGGATAGTAGCAAGGTAGGTTGGAGCTGTAGAGATAAAAGTGGTCACGTTGCTAGGAGACCTAGATGATCATCGGTGCTGAGCTAACTCCCTTATGTTTCACTGATGGACAGACTTGGGGCCAGAAGGGTGAAGTTGCTTGCACAAGTCCCACAGCTACTAAGCAGCAGGGTTGGGATTAGGGCTTAGGACTCCTTGCTCTAATACTCCTGGGGCTGGTTCTCTACCCAGTGCTGGTAGGGAATGGGGTGGGGAGTGGCCATTAGCTCCCTGCTCTCTGAGAAGAGGTCAGAGAAGTGGGTGGGAGTAAGGGTGACAGGACCTCTGGAAGAGTCTGAGTTCCTGCACCCTTCCTCGAGACCAATAGAAGTGACAGTGGAAACAAGAATGACCAACATCTCCATGGGCTCCCACTTGCGTTAAAGGTAGTTGTACTTGGTTGCATTATTAAGCTGATGTGGAATAGTTGTGTGAGCCATAGCCAAGATCCCTGGGTTGCAATTCCAAGATCAGCCCACAAGTGCCACCTCTGTTTCACCTAAGGCCCTCTGAAAATTCCCTCCCTGGTTCCCACAGTACTTACTGTCTGAATCACTGCTAGCACATCACTCACCGTGCTGTGTTGCTACACAACCTCTACTCAAGGGTTCCCACCCCTGTCTCCTAAAAGCATTTTAAATGCTTTCAGTAGAGGGAGAGAATCATAAGATTTCTGGTCTCCCCACAGGCCCAGGGTGTAGGATCATTACAACACGGTTGGACCAAAGGGAGTCTTCTTGCAAAGGATTGGGCATCTTGTCTGACCAGTCGTTATCTTTTGTATAGGAAGCTAAGGCTGGGCAAGGCAGTGTCCCAGCATTCAGCACTGCTTTAATGGGATTTCAGACACAATAGCCCAGGAAATAAATCAAGGAGAAAAAAGACACTTGGAAAAATCTGGAAAAGAAAAACCTGTCACAAGTAATGATGTCATTACAGAGAAAATGGCATATTTTCTAATCAATAAAGAGAATTCTAAAATAAGCTTTCTCTCCCCTAGGAAACTCTGGTCTCAGTGCAATCAGAGGAGAATTCCACTTCCACAGAGGGGAAGTGACATTCATATTAGCTCAGCATGAGGTAGTTGTTTGTGGTAGTGGCTGTTTCCATTGTTTCATATTTTTTATTTTGCTTTATTCCACTATTGCTGCATACATTTCAGAAAAGTTGATCTTGTTAATCTGAGAGTAATAAACAATCAAGGATATTTTATATCCACCATATTAAGGCTGAACATTGAGAAATATGACGGCTTCGGCTATAAGGTCATCTAGCCGTGTATGCTTGTGAGCAACTGTATGCATACATATCCTTTAAAATGAATTAAAAACAATAGATCATGGAAATACGCATAGTGCTTAATGCAAAGAGACACATAGGTATTGATGTGCGCATGTAGATATAGAGCATCACTTTCAATTGCCATCTGGTAGTAAGCTGGCATATGGTATATCCTTAAATAGAATAGTGGAGTTACAAAAATACAACTATAATTTTATATAACCTATTTCTAGTTGGCTTCTATTATAAATTGCATATGTACAAGTGTATAGGCAATGTGTACATGGGATACATACAAAATTTCTAATTTTCTCTAGAATCCAGAATAACTATAATTTCTCATCTTGTCAATAACAGCGTGGGGGCCTGGCCCTAGCTCAGGCCTTTAAGTGTCAGCCTCAGGTTGCTGGAGTTCGAACCTCACAACTCTCCCGCTGGCCAAAAGTGCCCTGAAGGCATTCAAGGAACAAAACAAAACAAAACAAAACAAAACAAAACAAAACAACAACAACAACAAAAAAAACCTTATCCCATAAAAAAAAAAAATAACAGCGTGTAATAAGTATATGTACATTAAGGGAAAAATACCGTTTTGTTTTTTTTTTTAATCTCTTTAGAAAACTCTTGTGTCATACAGGCTGCCTGAAGTACATTCATATTCCTTACTGGAGAAAGATGAATGGACAGCTTCAACTTTTATCTTTTAAAGGTCTCATGGATTATGACACATAATTATTACTAACTCAGCCTGGTTTCATGGAGCCCAACAGTATGCCTTTCCCTGGAATCAGACCATTCATCTGAGGTCAGCAAGACAGAACTGACCTCAGCTGCAGAGGACCGAGAAGAGGGGTCCTCGGTGCTCGCAGTTGTGAAGTCGGCTTCGGCAGCCTCTCCATCCTCACCCGCGGTCTGGCACGTTACTTCCCTCCAGCACACGACACACGAGCTTCCCCAGGAAAGGGAGGGCAAGGAGCTGCCCAGACGCGGCGCTCAGGGCGCAGGGGAAGACCGGGCACTCACCACACGCTGTCACTGCCCTTGTCCAGTGGGTTTCCCATGGGGTCGTAGTACACATCCACGCTGAGGTTCCGGTCCGTGTCGTGAGCGGAATTGAAGTTGGTGATCACCCGGGAAGGAATCCCCAAGCACCGCAGCACTGCAAGCCAAGCTCTGTGTGAGGCCGCGGGTGATGCTGCAGGTGGCACCCTGAGACACCATCGCTGTCCACTGAGCCAGCCCAAGCCCCTTACACCCATGGTACCTGTGTTGAGCGTCCCAGCAAAGACCCAGCACTGGCCAAATCGGACTGGCCTGAAGCCTGATTTTTTCCACTCCTTCAGGATTTCCACGCTGCCATTCCAGGTCCTTGGGTCCACACCACCCGTGTAACTGCCACTCCAGTTCCCAGCGATCACTCCGTTGTCATCATTGCTGTTAATCTGGGCAGACCCACCCCCACCCCCATGAGTTAGCGCTGTACTTTCCCAGTGGGGCAGGCAAATGAAGAAGGAAGCAGGGACTTTTAAGCAGACTTCTCTGTCCTTCTAGGTGACTTGAGGATGGGGATGACAGTAATGAATTCCTTAGGGGTCCGATTGATTTATGAGTTTAGAGGGGCTTTGCCTAACAGGGTAGATTTGATTGGCTTTGATCCATTTATTGATCCTATGCTACAGGCTGACATGGAAAATCGAGATTCCACTGTTTGTCAGTGGCAAGAAGGAGAAACATATGGCAGAAGACTTCTTAAAAAAAATAAAATCTCGAGGGTTCTCACAAATGTCTGTCTACTTGGAGGGTCTGTGTTTCGAAAATCTG